CTCAGTGCTCAGTGGTTCTGCCGCCAGCCTTACAAGCTCAAGGACCTGAGTTTGATCCCCAGTACCAAAAAACAAACAAACAAACAAACAAAACCCCCCCCAAAACAAAAAAACGTTATTGGAAGATGAAAAGAGAAAAGAGGATACTTTTTCACTTATCCAGTAAGGCATTTATTAACCACCCAAATGTACAGGGATCCAGGCACTGTTCTAGAAACACTTTAGAAATAAAATTTAATAATGCTTTGTCGGGGGGGCGGGTGAGATAATTCTACTTACTGTTTTCCTTTCTGTATCTCTGAATTTCATTTTTGAAAATATATTATTTAAAAAGAAATAAGAGCTCTCGAAACTACTCATCTGCAAATGGCCCACTTTGTATTAGAGCAAGATTCAGGGGGCAGTATGAGTGTTGAGATAGAAAATGCCCCAACAATGGAGAGCTTGTGGGAGGCTTCCGATAGAGAGGATGATGTCCATGCTGGATGCAATAGTAAATGCAAACACAGTCTGAGGTGGGATATTTCAGACTGAGCATGAAGTAGGAGCTGAGAGTTAGGAAGAAGTCATCATAATAACAACAGGAGCCAAGGCACATTCCACATCTGTGTACAATGTTAGAAGTACCCGTTGGAGGGGATTGTCCGCTGTTCAGATCTCTTCACTCACACAGCTTCTCCTTATTCCTCTTTAGTGACTCACGTTTGGAACTCTTGTGAAACAGGTGATATTGAAAGCCCTTAATTGAAAATTTTCATTTCTCATTAAAGTTCTTTTCTTCATAAGAAAGTGATTCATTGTAGTAACAAATCAAACATATCATGTGTAAAATTAGTGGATAGTCAAACCATGCAAACGAGCAGTGTATTTCTGAAAGTATCGCTATTAAAGACATTTTTATATAATGTATAGAGAGAATGCTTCCAGGTAATGTACTACATCTGTGATTGGTGCACAGTCATATGTGATTCATGAGTACATGATAGTGGTCCTATAAGATTACAAGGAGCTGAAAAAGTCCAGTTGCCCACTGACATCATAGCTGTTGTAATGTCATAGAGGAATGCATTACTCCTGTTGGTGATGATACTAGTGTAAAGAAGACTACTGTGCTGTTTGATGTATAAAATTACAGCATCTATAATTATTACAATTGTACTTGACAATGATCATGAAAAAATATGTTACTGGTTATTGACTGTACTATATTTTATCATCATTTTAGAGTGTATTCCTTCTGCTTATTGAAAAATTTTTACTGTAAAATAACCTGCTATAATGCCTACAGCAGCCTCACATAGCCTGTGATCCTGGGTCTGTTAACTGCATCATTTTCTCTTGTTCTTGATTTAGTTTATATTGCATTGTTCATCGTAGCCTTGGGAGCAATAGGCTAGCTCGTATTTGCTTTATATGTAGATGCCATATAGTTGAGGTGTGTAGAAGGCTATGCCATCTCAGTTTATGTAAGTCCGTGTTGTTGACATGACAAATGCATCAATGAATTATTTTTGCATAACTCCATTGTTAGTGACATATGGCTGTATGTGCACTTTTAAGAGTAAGTTATTATTTTCCCTGTTTTACTAGTGAAGAAAATAAGACACAAATAGTACTTGCCCAAGATGACAGCTAACAAGTACTAGAACCAGATGTAGATTGATTTAGTTTGTTTTTCTAAATGTCAAACCTTGTATATATCCCAATATTTTCTGCCAATTCTTCCTCATAAAAATGAATATACATGTCCTGAAGTTAAAGGAAACAGTTGATGTGTTAAGAAAGGAGTTACAACCATTACACTCTTTTTAGCATGTTACCTCTTGTTTTCAGAACTACTTACTATGTGACTATGATTTACATTGTTTGGTTTAAGGAATTTAGAGGTATTCATTATTCATTCCTTTCTAAGGAAACAGTTTAGTTTGAGTCACAGGGTTTGAGCCTATAAGTTATTACAAATTTGACAAATGATTAGCTTAAAAGCAATATTGTGTTTGAAGGTCAGAAATTTTCAAATGCTTTTTCGGTGAAAATGTCACCTTGCAAAAAGAAGTGCCAAAATAGCAATACCAGATCAGAGCCTATTATGTCCCAGACACTATTTTAAACTCTTCATAGCAAAACAGATCCAAGTCTAGAAGTCAGTAGTTAGGTGAATAAATGGTTATAAATTTGCAGTAAATGCAGTTAGTGTAAGAAGGTGCTAAAAAGCTGCTTAACCAAAGCTCTGAGATAACAGGGAAGGCAGGTCCTCCCCAAGGTCTTGTCTTAGTTACTTTCTCATTGCTGGGACAAAATACCTGATACCCACAAGTTAAAGGAAGAAAGATTTATTCTAGCTCACAATTTGTAGAGGTTTCATTCTGTAGTTGGCTGGCTCTAAAGGCAGGACAGCATGACAGAGGAGAAACAGTCCAGGACATGGCAGGCAGGAAGAAGTGAGACTCCTGCTTCTTTCTCTTTTTATTCCATCCAAGCTACAAACCTGTCCTTTGGTGCTATCCACACCCAGTGTGGGGTCTTCCCCTCAGTAAGTCCATCATCCACACTGAGAACAATGCTAAGCCAGTCAGTAGACTAGTCCAGTACTATTCATCTATGATCCAGTATTACACACCCATAATCTAGTCACTGCCCCCACAGCCTCACCTATGAATGCATATGTCTTTGGAGTGGGTGAAGGGTGTCTAGATATAAACTGTAACAGGTTTAGAGATGAATTGGGAATTAACTAGGCGATGTCTTCTTGTAGAGGGTCAGGGCACCACGGCTAGCATACAGGGGACAGTAGTGACAGTGAAGCTTGAGAAAGCTGGAAAAGGTAGGCTGGGGTGGACAACACAGCCTGAGTAGAGGCATCTTATATTCATCCCAGGAGCCGTGAACTCCCATTAAGAGAAAGGAGGTACCAGGGTTCATGGCAAGATCATAATGACTTGGATTAAGGTGGTATTCTGAAATTACAGAAAGGTATCAGAGCTGAGAGACACTGCAAAGATAAAATCAGTGGGCTAGGGTGATGGAATCTATGTGGAGGTAAGGAGGAGAAAGTCAGAAATCTGGAATGAAGACGTAACAGCCATTTCAGGGTAGCATGGGGAGTGGGAACTGTGTGCGTGCAGAAGAGGAGAAGAAGAGTTCTTTTTTTTAACATGTTAGAGGTACAATGATATCTTTGAACCATTCAAGTGAAAATGTGAAACAGTGGATATATGGGTCTGAATTTAAGAGGGGGTGGCAAAAGCTAGGGATGTGGGGCCAGGGATTTAGCTCAGTGGCTCTGAGCAAGTACAAGGACCCAAGTTTGATCCCAGTATTAAAAAAAAAAAAAGATAGTGATGTGCATTTGAGGTATCATCTGTGTTTAAATGGTAGATTGAGGCCATGTGTATGAGTCAGGGAAAAAGTATGGGATGAGAAAAAGCCTGTAGTTAAACTGTAACAAACTCATAGTATTTGGCATTCCAGTAGAAGACAATAAATCTGCAGACATGACTTAAAATAGCCAGAGAAGTGAGGGAAAGCCAGGGAGTTGTAGAAAGCCAAACAAACAGGTTGTATCAAAGATATGGCAGTTGAAAGGGTTGGGGATTTAGCTCAGGGGTCCATCACTTGCCGCACAAGCTCAAGGACCCAAGTTCAATCCCCAGTACCAAAAAAAAAGATATGGCAGTTGGAATCATTCAGTGGTGGTACTAGGAGTCAGCTTTCTCTTGCTGTAACAAAATACATGAGGTAATCATGTTAAAAAGAGGAAATGTTTATTTTATGTCGTTGTTTTGGAGGATTCAGTCCATGGGTGGTTTGCTTCTTGCTTTTAAGACTGTGGTAAACCAGACATCATGGTGGGAGCCTGTGGCAGAGAGATGGCTAGGAAATGGAAGGGAGACAGAAACGGGCCAGGGTCCCAATATCTCCTTCAAGTGCATGCCTGCAATTGCCTGGGCTTCGGCTAGGCCCCACCTGTTAAAGATTTCATCACCTCTCAGCTGCACCATGAACTAGGGGCCAACCCTTTAACACGTGGCCCTTTGGAGGACACTCATGGAAGCCATCATGAGGAGAGTTGATTAGTTGAGTACCCCTTGGAAAAGCCATGGATATCACAATGTGGAGGACACTGGTGACCTTAACAGGAAGATCCACCTGGAAGGAAGGGAGCGCAGGAGCCAGACCATTCACACCACTCTTGGGAAATGTGGCTGTAATGGGCAGAGAAGGCATGAGCTCAACATGAGATTGGGAGCTAGCTGTGGGAGAGGTTTTGTTCTTTGCATTTTATTTTATGTTTTTAAAACAGGAAAAAGTTGTTTCAGCGTAGACAGGGAAAATTTTCAGAAGAGATTGAACATGCGAGGTAACAATATTGTAGAAAAAATTGCCAGGCTACCTGCAGAGCGCTTTCAAAATTGCTTCATCACAGTGAAGACTGCAGGAAGGTGTATGTTATAAATTCTTAAGGACCGATATTTTAAAAACGATGGCTTGGCAGTATCAGCCTTGGACATTATTGCCTTGTAATATAAACTGTGTGTCATGATTCACACACTTAGCTCATCTCTGCTTATTTTCTAGGAGCTGATGAGGACATAGAGAGTCCAGAACTGACAACATCTCGACCACTGCTTCCAAAGGTAGCATTCACTAGTGTTACTCCCAAAGTGGAAACTACGACGCTGAAGACACACAAGATGCCTGCCCAGACGAAGGTGCATTTGGTTTTGCTTGCGTTACCGCATTATTGTAAATGATCCTCTTTTTTCCCACTGTGCAGAACAGACCTTTCAAGAAGTCCTAAATCAAATTATTTAAGGACAAATGATCTCTTGTTACATTGTAAGTGGCCCTCTCTTACTCCTTAGGGTCATTTATCTCAACTACTACTTGTATTAACCAGACCTAATTTATGTATGAATATTTTTCACATGGCACTCTTTCTTAAAGAACTTCTCAGTTAAGAAGCAAAATCTTATTTATTTGGCTTAAATCAAGAAAAACATTTGTTTCATAGAGAATGTTCGCAGTTAAAAACATTGTGAACTTTACATATGCTGCAATAGGTTGTGGGCTGAGACTCCAGATCTGTCTTGAAATGGTCTGAGTCTCCATGCCCTGCAGCCCTGCCATCGGTGGTATGTAAACTCGGACATCTTTCTGTGATGACAATGAAGCTGGGTACATCTGTACTTATTCTTTTTGAGAGCTGGTGCCTTAAGAATGAGACTGTTGGCTTTAGAACAGAACAAAGTTACTAGCTAATGAAAACTATGAGCTCATGATTTTGGCCTTAGAGCATTATATTGCAGTTAGTTGACTGTACACTAATAGGAAAAGTATTTAAGTTGGAAAAGGCATACTTAAAGCTTAGAGAAGGCCTCAGGATTCAAACCCTAGATCCAGTCAGATTTTCTTGGGTCATTAAGAGGATTAAATGTGAGTGTGTGTAGCATGGTACCTAGACCAAGGAAGCATTTTTAGGAAAGGTTGGTTGAATTTGGTGGCGCAGGAGGGACCAAGCCTGTCTTCCACATGAGCATGTGTAGTAATAGCTACAGTGGTAGACTTTGCAGGTACTCCAGGGGTAGCATGGTGTTTATGAAAACTTAAAAACACAAGAACCTCCCTATTGAGCTTACCCATCCATTGATTAGAAATAAGATGCTTCTAAGCTTTGACAACAGACAAGCCATGGAAAGCTATCTTAGAAAAGTAGTGGCATGACTTCTCTGGGGGTGAAAAGCGCCCTCTGCAGGTAGGAACACAAGTGGGCTTCTCCTGCCTTTACCAGAATACTTGTCCTCTTCCTGTTGTCCTGGTGTATGACCAGCATGGGAATATCACAGCTGGATGGATCTTTTCAGATGTGGAGCAGCAAGAGGTCAGCCCTCTCAGGATCAGTATACTCTCTGTAGGGTTAGGAGGGGTCAGTTGCTAGTATAACTGACTTTAGCAGCCAGGCATTAGGAAGGCTGGGAGAAGCGCCATGAGGACTGAGGCAGACTTGCCTAGCATGTTCTGGCTCGTGCATGGTAGCTGCTGCATCTTTCGTTTAAATTGAATAGCTACAAGAAAGGAAAAGTAGGTACAGTTGATGGCAGGACAGCTGAACATCTCAGAGTAGATGTAGTTCATTATCCACTATGGCCTTTACCACATTTTTACTTAACTCCTTCCCAAGATGGAGTCTCTTGAAGTCAGTGACCTTTAAGCCTCCCTAACTTGAGACAGCAGCCTCTCTTGGGTCGGTTTTGGCTTTCAGTGGTAGAGTTGTATACTCAGCAAAACCTAATTTGACGTAGATTTCTGATCTGTTGACAGAAAATACAGATTGAAAATTGATTTGTTTGACCTGACTGAATAAAGGCATCAGATCGAGATGAACAAATAGACATGTGGTAGATGAGTTTAGGGATTAAAGTTCCTAGACAATTTGAAAAATATTTATATTCTTACTATTATTTATATTCAGTGTAACAATAAAAATTCATCCAATCAAGGAAGATGTATTCACTATGTGTCAAATGCTCATCTAGCCACTGATAATGGCAATATTGATCATGAACAACAAATAATAATGATTTAATCTTCTGTCTTGTGGTACATGGTGCGGCTGTATTAAACATTGCCTCTAGGATACCATTAGTACAGATTTTGCTTTCAAATGGGTCTCACAGTGGCATTAATGTCACTGTTACAGATATTGTATCTAGTTTGTTACAAATTTATGTGACTAAAAAGTAAAAAGAGAAGTTATTTGTTTATGTAGAGACTCTCTTGTAAACTTTTGCTCCATTCCATTTCCATGGCATCTAAATAGCAAGCATGGATGTCACAGATCTTTAATTGGCTTCATTTAATTATCTCTGCTGCCTTTCTCATAATTTCATTTGGACATTTATGCAAGAGTTATGGCAGTTAGATTAGTTCTATATTGTAGAAAGATTTCTTCTGCAAGCCTGTGTTTCTACACAATAAAACTATTACATATAAAAAAAAATGAATGTTCCATCCAGAACACTTGGAGACTAATAGACCATACCTCTAAGTACACATGGCCCCAGTTCTGTGGAGACCTTCCATCCCCATGTGCTCAGATCCTGGAATGCATACTTCATTTTTTTTGCTTCCTACTGGACCTGAAGCTGGATCAGAGACAACTGAACAAGCCAACTCTGTTAAATGACATTAGGAACTCAAAAAGGCCGTGTGATTTATCATTACAGTGGGATAAAGATGATGAGGCTTAAACTTGGTGTCTAACTAGTTGCTCCTGTGTCAATCTATTTAATCTGATATGATATCCATCATATTTCTCTCTGAGACACAAATCTATCTACTTACTTGAGCTTTCTCCTTGCCTTCCTAACCTCTAGCAGAAAACCAGGGCTGATGAGCAATGAAAGTTTCCTAGATTATGACTCAGATAATCCATTCTCTGATCTGCTGAGGTATTTATCCTTTATAGCAGGTAACCCGTTAATGACAAGTTTTCCAAAGGAGAAAATGGAGGAAACTCAGGCAAAAGACTGTCAGTGAGCTTCTTTCTTCTGCTTTACTTTGGTACAGGAAGGCCTGGGAGAAACATTCCTATTGTATTCTATTGTAGCAATACAGAAAACAGTGGAATTTGGGTTCGTGTTGAGCAACAGTGAACTGATAATTTGTTTGTGGTGCGGGATTTTGTAATGCGTGGCAAGTTGAAGTTTAGGCAGTAGAGGTTTTCCTTGTGGAAAGGAAAGAGAGTCACTCTGTCACGGTTCATCACATACCATCTTCAGGGGAAGTCTAGTACATTCTGATCCTGAGACAGAGACCCATTGATCTTACATAGAGTGAAGTTCAAACAGACCCTTTCTAGCTGTGGTCCTTCCAAAAAATGAGAGTAACTTTAAGCCCACGAAAGTGAGACCTCTTTTTAGGTACTTTAACCCTGTAGATTTAAGTAGCAGGTTACCATTTTGGATGAATCCTGGTTTTCAGAAAACAACTATTTGACCATCCCATGCATGTTAGACACTATTAAGTCTTGGTGAAGATGATTGGTGCCTGTAGAAAGAATAGCAGAGTTAATAAAGATTTATTGTATATCTTTATAGCCCAGTGGAATTGACAGTGTCCTTAATCAGTAATACCAACCAATGAGAATTTTATCCTGATAGATAATAGAAGATTCATTTGAACTAAATTTCTCTTAACCAGGGGTTTTCAGACCACAGAATCATCCAGGAAACTTTAAACAGCAATAAAAGTCAGGGCAGGTTTCTCCACCCCAGACTAATTGAAATAGAATATGTAGTCATACGAAAACTTCTATGACGAGAGAATGGATTTGGCTAGCAAGCGGCCATGAGATGGCCTGTCAGGGTTTTCTGGTCTTAAGAAGTGGGCTGGAAGAAGACTGGAAGGTACATAAACAGTGCAGTTTTGAGAATGTTGAGGAGCCTCTATAGGGTGTGTTATAGATCTACACAGAGGTTTGGAAATAGGAATCCAAGGAAGGAACTTAATTTTAGAGATTGAGAGGCAAATTGACAGGACCGAAATAGGGAAAGTACAAGATGAAATGTGCTAAAATGCAGTAATACCTCAGTTCACAAATGTTTCTGTTTGCAAACAGTTCTGTTCACAAACAAAAGCATGATGCAGAAGTTTGCTTCTGTGTCACAAAAACAAGTCACAAAGTCACAAAAACAACCACAACTGTTTTCCCCACACAAACAGAAACACAGCCATCTTTCCCCAAATCATAAAACAAAATTAGTCTATAAACCAAGAGGCCACTGTATTAAGTTTTGGACCCCCCCAAGATATGGTACCATTAGTGAAAACAAGAGACAACTGATCTGTTTTGGCACAGTACATTACTTTTGTAGAACTGACAGGTAGACTGCAAGGAGATGCCCGTTAACTTTTGGTGTCTTACAGGCTGACTGGAGATGAGGCAGTGCAAATTAGTACTCTATCCTTATTTTCAGCAATGTGGAGCGTCCAAGACCTGGGGATGTCCTTTATTAGACAAAGACACTGAGGTCTAGAGAACGGAAGTGACTGAGAATCCACACGGACTACTTGAAGAACCTAGTTATCTGAAGTCCTGTTCCAGGGTTCCTTGAAAGGGACAGGATTAAGAGGAAAATATGGCAAGCAAGGCTTTGGGCGGCTACTCTTGTGGCGGGAGCAGGGAGAACCCTATCAGATATGAAAGGATTCCCAGCAGAGAGATAAAGGAATAAGGAGCATTAGGGTCAATGAAATTATTGGGGTAGTGCAGCTTGTGGGAGGTGGTGGCCTGAAGTCACAGAGTGGTAAGATAGTAGAGATTTTAGGAAATGTCAGTGAAAACAATTAACCATGTCACTGGAGTTATGAATTGACTAATAGTCTATTACAAGATGGGTGTTAACAAAGAACCACGAGGGACATGAGTCCACCATAGGCCTTATTCATTGAGGTAATTATCATGCAAAATATTATTCTAATTATTTCCTAAACTCATTGTTGAGAAGAGAGAACTTTAGAAATACTCATTTATTATTTCTACCTTCAGCACATTTTCAAAAATTGATTTAATGCTTTTTTTTTCCTGTACCAGTCACCTGAAGAAATTGATAAAGGGGAAGTTCACCTCTCTGACACAGAAAAGAAAATAAACCCAGCTGAAGAGAATAAAAACGTGTATACTGAGAAACACTCAGACAATCTGTTTAAACGCACAGAAGTCCTAGCAGGTGAGTAGCGGGCTGGTGACCAGGTGGGAGGGGCTTAAATAGGCCTGGTGTGGCTACCTGGGTATAGCAAAGCTCACTGAATAGCACCTTCCAACTAGAAGCAGTCTTGAGAGCCTTTCATCCCAGCATGAGAAACTAGAGGATGGCTTCATCTTTATTTTCTGCTGGCTTCTTTGGCCTCGTCCTTAACCAGCCAAAAGTGTAGAGGAGCCTGGAAGAGTAAAGATCTGAATTAGTCCAGAACAGCTGGGCTTGAGGGACCAGCAGGGTATGGAGATCAGCCCTGCTCCAAATCATCCCTGATTTCAAAACAAACTTAACAGGAGATGGTCTTTGTGGGGAGGGCAGTTGACAAAAATACTACTTTAAAGTGTTAAGAATGTTGTCTCTGATTATAACTTTTTTGATGAAGTACAGGGTACAGTTTGATCTACCCTAGTCTGAAAATCTAAAATGCTCCAAAATGCAAGACATTTTTTTTTTTCAGTACTAGGGATTGAACTCGGGGCATCACACATGCTATGCAACTTATCAAGCAACATCCTCAACTTTTTTAAATTTTTTATTTTGAGATAGGATTTCCCTAAATGGGCCACAATAGCCCAGACCTTTTATTCTTCTTGAATCAGCCTCTTGAGTAACAGAGATTACAGGCATGTGCCACTATACATAGCTCAAAGCTTTTTGATTTGCCAACACGATGCTTACAGTGTAAAATTTCACAACTGACCTTACATGGGTCAGTCAAAATGCAGGCACACAACAAATTTTGATGAAAAGTATTACATATAAGAGTTTCTTCAGTCCTGCATATAAGGTGTTTAAAAACATAAAGAAATTTCATTTTTCGACTTGGGTCCCATCTCCAAGATAATCTCTTTATGTATACTCAGATGTTCCAAATTCCAAAATGTCCGTACTCCAGTACACTTCTGGCCCTGAAGCATTTTGGATAAGGGATGCTTAACGTGCGCCAACATTTGATTCAAAGCAGACAAAATTTATGAACAATTAATCCTTGAAAATGATAGTCTCAAATTCAAGACTACAAAGAAATTTGCATAATTTTCTTCTATTTACTGTGAAAAATAGCCAATTATATAATGTTTTGTGTTTTCATTGAAAAGTAATTAGAAGATTAGAATATGAAATTTGAGTACCGAAAAGATGAAAGTATTTAAAAATGGAATAAGCTGGATTTTTCTTGTTGAGGCTTTTGGGTGATATTAATACTAATCAAAGGAAGTATTACTGTACTTTCCAGAGGAATATCAGATTTGCATAATTACCTCTATTGAATCCAGTTGCTTTTTTTTAATTGGGTTTTCAAATTAAGCCTTTTATGAAAGTGTAAATAGATTGGGTTTGACAAAGCTAATTTCTGCAACCCTTGAATCTTAAGTAATCTTCCTTTTGTTGTACGTTAGCTGTCATCGCTGGTGGAGTTATTGGCTTCCTCTTTGCGATTTTCCTCATCCTGCTGTTGGTGTACCGCATGAGAAAGAAGGATGAAGGGAGCTACGACCTTGGGGAGCGCAAACCATCCAGTGCTGCTTACCAGAAGGCACCTACTAAGGAGTTTTATGCGTAAAACTCCCACTTAGTGTCTCTATTTATGAGATCACTGAACTTTTCAAAATAAAGCTTTTGCATAGAATAATGAAGATCTTTTTTTTTTCCTTCATTAAAGAGCCACCCTGGCACTTTAATGATAAAATCCCATTGTATTTAAAACTTCATGTATTTCTTTAGAAAGACATAAAATTAAAATTTAACATCTGCAGTGTTCTGTGAATAGCAGTGGCAAAATATTATGTTATAAAAACCCTTGATGTTCATGGAATTAGTTTAAACTTTTTATGAGAAAATATGATTGTTTTTGTCCTATGGTTCAAAGATGAGAGCTATGTCATTTGTGTAAGCATGTCTCAGATGGACCTTACCAAGTTGGTCTTACTTTGTTAATTTATCTGTTGTCCCCTCTGCTCTGCCTTCCCTTCTTGTCCCCTTAAAAACCAAACTGAACCCCATGCCTTTTTGTAGCTGTCATGGTGCAATTTGTCTTTGGATGATTCACATAATGGTAATTTAGTGTATATGTGATTTTCAGATATGTAAACTTTAACCTCCACTTTGTAAATTTTTAAATGTCAGACTATCCATTTTACACTTGCTTTACTTCTCATTACCTGTAGCTTCAGGCAGATGTATAACAGCAAATCTATGTGTAAAATTGGATTATTAATAGAAAATGTTTAGTCCTATCTATCTAATCAGATCTTCTTTTGAGAGGATTTGATGTAAGTTACTGACAAGCCTCAGCAAACCCAAAGATGCTAACAGTATTTTGAAAAGTTGCTGCAGATTCCTTTGGCCACTGTATTTGTTAATTTCTTGCAATTTGAAAGTACAAGGAGGGATTTAAAGAAAAAAATCAGTTTTCATTTTTAAAAATGCATTTAAGTTGTAAACATCTTTTTAAGCCTTTGAAGTGCCTATGATTCTATGTAACTCGTCACAGACTGATGTTAATGAGTATATATAACAGTATAAAAAAGTTGGTATTTTATAAGCACAGACAATTCTAATGGTAACTTTTGTAGTCTTATGAATAGACATAAATTGTAATTTGGGAACATAAAAACTACTGAATAAATCATGTGGCCTAATATTGAAAATGTCACTGTTATAAATTTTGTACATTTTCGATCAAATGTACATCTCCCCTTTGCTAATGACTGTCTGCTCTCAAGAATGCCAGGGGTTCGATTTTGAGTGTTCCACGGTGTCTGTAAATCAAGACCAAAGAGCCCATCCGTGGAGCTGTTTAGTATCAGATTCACTTCTCTGTTGGCCAGAGCAGCCTGAGTGTATTGTCCTGTGTGTGTCTTGGTACAGATCCTGGAAGGTTGCCAGGGAATTTGGAAGTTTGCAACCTTTGTGGGATAGCTGATGGCAGTATTACAGAGAGATGCCTGCTTTTGCAAATAACTTCTGAGACTGTAAATTCCAAAGAACTAAAGAGGGGTTTCCGGAAGTAGCTATCTCAGGCTTAGTCTTGTAAATCGATTTATCTTTCCTAGTGTGCTGTGTGTTAAAATGAGGGTCCTGCTGCTTCGGATCAAAATAGCTGGAGAGAGTGATGCCGGAGGAGGAGATGAGTGTACCCTGGCTGGGTACTTCCTGTACTGAACGTTTCCTTTTTACATTAATTTTGTTTTAAACTGTGAGCCGTGGAAGTAGGGAAAAGATAACAAAAACAGCAACTTTTTCAACATACAAGCTTTAAAGAAAGTTGGAATGCTTCATTTAGAAAACATTTGCTGGAATTGCCACCAAACTCATTTTTAAGAAAAGTTTTAAAGCAACACTGAAGCAGTGTTTGCTTAAATCCTTAATGGCCTTAATTGTCAAGTTTCCTACCCCACCACTTACAGACTCAATTCACTTTATTTAGGATAATTAAAAGGAACAGATAGGCTCTTCTAACACCGCACAATAACCCTCATTACAGAGGTTAAGAATGTAGTGGGTTTACCTCTAACTGTGCAAAAACAGAGTGAAATTCTATTCCTAGAACAACTTGCTTGGAATATCCGTGCCAGGAAAAGAAAATTTCTGGCAAATATTTTGTCACTGCTGTAAAGCAAAATATTTGTTAAAGTGCCAAAATAAAGTCTGTCATGCCGAAAGTAAATCATTGTATAGACTGACATCCAGTTTTCTTCAACTGCACGTTTTCCGCTTAGTTTATTTCTTTTTGAATTTTAAGATGCAGAAAATACTGCTATAAAGTGTGAGTAATGATTACTAAGTTCAGGAAAATTCTGGTAAAATATAAATGTTAAAACCAATGTGAAAATTTCCTGTTTCCTTAAGCACACATAAACGATTTCCCTTGTGTGAAGATGGCTTTGTGTCAAGACTTGGAGTATTCAAGCTGTCCCGCTTTTAGTGTGTTGGGGGAAATAGCCTAAGTGCACATTTAAATTTTTTTCTTAGGAGTTTTAACTGCAGGTGTGTAGTGCCTGAACTTCAGCATCAGGACCTGTTTAGTATGATTGAATTTTGGTGAAATAAGTTTATAGAAACGAACTTCAGCTAATGTCAGTAGTTGGTCATTTTATGTCAAGTTTTCAGTGGTTTGATATTTGGGTAATGTACTTTTATCTTTTATATTAGATGAGATGCTCCTGATGGTTGAGGATGAAAGCTAAGTCAGTAGTATAAGAAACCTGTATGGCCTACAAAGGGTGCAGGTTGCTACAAGAATAGGCACAAAAATAACTTACTTTTTAGGAGCTTTTTTTTCTTCAATACTTTAAACATTTTGAAACCTCAAGGAAAAATTTTAAGTGAGGAACAAAACTCTACAACCTGAAACTATCACATGGTTGACTTAATGAGTAGGTTCTTCTTTATAGCTGTACTGCCACTACATAATGAGGTAGAAGTATATTTTAAACTAACTAGGTTTGAAAGGACAATGACTCAAAACAACCCAGTCTCTAACGGGAGGTTCTGAGTTAGCCCAAGCAGGCAGCAGTGAGATCCTGAGAGGTTCCTAATGAGAAGGAAGGCAGCCAGACACCACGTGGAGTGGCCTGCATCGAGTGATCGGAAGGCTCCTTGTAGTGGTAATATTTCATGACAGTTGTGCAGTGCAAGACCCAGACCATTTCTAGAATGAGATTCAACTAGCATAGAAAACTTGTAAAAAGGGAGAATATTACCTGTTTACCTCTTTGTGGTAAAAGCGTATCAAATTGAATTTTTGTTGTCCTGTCTCCTAACCCTGGGTAACTTAGACTTTTAAAGTTTTGTTTCTTTTAGTTCTCCTACATACTGTCTTCAGCCAGGTCTTTCCTGACCAAAAAGTCCTGGCAGCGTTGAGAGCAGTTTGATTTCTCATGAGTTAGCTGGAAGGGTGTAACCCAAGGCATCAACCCAGCTCATAAATAGCAGAGTGGAGCTTTTGACTTCGGTGCCTGTGTATGCTGGCACAAGATAGACTCATTCCGGTTTCATTGTCAAAGTAGTGTTCAAACCACAAATGCTTGTATATGCAAGCCATCAGAAGTTCAGTCAACAAATATTTGCCTACTGACTGCACAGGACGTTAAAGAAGCTAAGGGTATATGAATAACTTAGGTGGACAGACCCCGCTCATACAGAGCTGCCATGGGGCAGGGGTGGGGTGGGATTGTGTCTAATGGGAACAAAGTCAATAGATGAATCTAAAACATAGAGATATTATCAGTTGGTAGAATTTCCATATAGATGTCATACAGGCTGTGGGTCTGAATGACTAACAGTAGGGTTAGGTGATGCTGCTACAAGAGTCGGCAACTTCAGCCAGCAGACTTTTTTACTCAAGATAGAAGCTAGAGTCTGGCAGAGTTGTGCTCTGAATAACTTTGTCCTCACTGTGGGGCTTGGCCTTTTGGAGTAGCCGTTATCTGGACACTGCCTGTTACCAAGGTGGAAAGGAAAGGGCTGAAGCACACAAAGAGTCTTAAAGCTGCTTCCCAATAGTGACATCACTGCCACCTCCATCTCATTTGCCAGAGAGTCATGGCCACACCTGAAGTCCAGGGATCAGAGAAGGGCAGTCCATCTTTGGGCCTACAGAAGAGAGATGTCAGCAACCATCATAAAAACTTGGCCTGGTTAGGAAAGCTGTTAGGGTAAGGCTTGGGTGATCAGCCAGTTGGCCAATGTCAGGACAAACCCAGGCTGTGGGAAGGCCCTAAGGAGGGAATGAGCTTGGCATGGAAGAACAGAAGACCAGTGGCTGGGGGGAAGAGAACAGTGATAGATGGGAGAAGAGGGCTGAGAATAAGCATAAGGCCTTCTGACTGGTCTTCCCTCTTCCACTTTTGTTACCTTCCACTTCATTCTCCACAGAAAACTAGGCTGGTCCTATTAAGATCTACTTTGGTTTTGTCACTCCCTTGAATGACAGAATGAAGCCTCTGCTGGTTACCTTGCTCTCAAGGTCTACAGGAAGCGCCCCTTGGATGTGCATTACAAGGATACATACACAGTGAAGATGGCAAGGCCAGTGGGGTCATTATAGTCACCTAAGGAGCACAGTTGGGCCCAAGTGGTCTCATGGAGATGGAGAGAACTCTTAACGTAGCTGTTCAGAGAGGTATAACCAACCAGGCTTGCTAAAGGCTTGGAAGGAATAGGGAGTAAAGAAAAGAATCAAAGATGACAAACTCTGAGCAGTGAGCAAATCATCTGAAAGGAGTTGGCCGGGGGGTGAACCCAAAATTCCTTTTGGGCCATGTTATTAGAACTGTTAGCCAAATGCAGGTGCCAGGCAAAAGAATAAAATGGAAGGACATGGAGACCAAGAAGTCTAAATTGAAATACTAATTTAGGAGGAGTGTCCATCATTTGGCTGTTGCACTTTTATTTCCAGTCTTCCCTACTCTTCTCTGTGGAGTGCCTGAGGTTTTCCCATGCAAACTACATTCCCAAGCTTCCTTGCCAACTGGCCTCTGGGAAAGTTTGGTCAATGGAAGGCATTTAAAGACAGCAGTCAAGAAGGGAGAAAAGCCAGTACCTCTCTCTCTCTTCTTCCCCCTCCTACACCCCCACTTCTAGTAGTATTGGGGTTTGAATCCATTGAACCCATGACCTTTGCACTGAGCTATATCCCCAGTACAATTTTTAATTTTTTGGAGACAAAGTCTTGCTGAGTTGCCCAGGCTGACCTCAAACTTGTGTTCATCCTGTCTCAGCCTCCTGGTATCTTTTCTGTGATTTGAATTCCTACTAGGCAGGCCTTCCTCCTTGTTCCCAGCTCTCATAACTGTAAAACTCTTACAACCTTGCTCATCCTGCTCCCAAACACACCGTCTTTCTATCCCAATGAAAGCTGCAACTTGATGTTGCTGTTCTCTGGATAATCTCACCCTCCCCAGTTTGCCCTCACAGCCTTTCCACCATCTTTGAAACTGACTGCACTGTTACATTCTCTATTGCATTACCTGGTGTGGGTTCCAGTTCCCTTCCTGGACCCCTGACTCATGACACAGGAGTGAGCAGCATGTAGATAGCATTAAGAGCCATAAGGAGGAGATTATTTGGAGAGGTAAGTAGATAGTGAAGGAGGTGGGCCTTAGATCTGCAGACCAGCAGTGTCTTGTCTTTTTAGGTGAACCAGTATCAGACTCACTCTTGGGCGCTGTATTGCCCTTTTGGTTTATGCTTAGCAGAGAGCACCATCTTTAATTGCAAGGAATCCTAATGCACCATGAAAAGTACATTTTGAGCACATTAATAAATATGGCACAGTATCTATTTGTACCTGGTCACTAATAAAAAATATAAACTTTAAAAAATAGAACAAAGTAATTGGGCAAAAAGTAGTCAGGAAATATCTATTGTCTGTGGTTAATATACAAACAGTATCAGCAAACAAAACTGTAAGCATTTTCCTAATTGTAGCATGGTCCTGGGGTCATTGAAAGCAAAATTTCTGCCTTCTTAATTATATTCTTGTAAATACCAGAGTAAGCTTATAATTCTCTTTGTGAGACCAATCTCAGGGAAAAGCAGTGAACATGATAAAAATATAGATACTTTGGCTCTGTATCAGACCCAGAACTTGGAGAGTGTGAAGAGTGTTTTAGTAACCTCACATCTCAGTTGTTTTACTTTTTAATTTATCTGTTACTCTTTCTCACTTAACTCACTTTTTCATGTGTAAAATAAAGTTGCTGCTCACCACATTGGCTTGTGGGAACCCAATGAGGAAAGGAGGTGATGCACTGAACCCCGGGTCTGGCAACTGGGTCATCATCCATAAAAGATGATTTATTCATCTCTCTGCCACATGTTTCCTGGGTATTATTTACTAGGGATGGTTCTGGGATCCAGGAAGAGACCAACCACAAACAGATATATAATGAAATTTGATGAGAAGGTGACACTGGAAGAGGGAAGATGGCGAGGGATTGTACCATGAGGTGAGGGAGAGGAGCCTGAAGATTTGGGAGGTTTGCAGAGCATTCCAGGCAGAACAGTGAGATTCTGAGCCTTGAGTGTGGCTCTGACCAGGAGCAAGTGCCTTAGAAATTAACATGGTGCATAGCTTGCAAAATATCCACAGATCAGAGGATGTGGGTATGGCCTGTACCATGGCAGTGGCTTTGGAGAGCCACTGCAGGATTTTTGAGCCAGGGAGGGTAGATCAGCTTCAAACTGGTTCTCAGACCTCAGCAGACAGGAGAATCATGAAGAGGATTTGTTACAACATAGCTACCTGGGCTCTACCCCTGGCGGTTCTGATTCAGCAGGTAGGTGGAACCTGAAGATTTGTACTTTCATGAAGTTCTTCCAAGTGCA